GCTGATGATAGCAGAGCTCCAGAACTGGTGTAATTCTGATCTCAAGCCTGGTGGACGCGAACCTGTAGTAAGCATTGCTGGAGTTGTTGTTACTTTATTATTTGTCTTCCTGAGGGTCTAACCTGACGATTGTTCTTTAGGAATGGAGATCCTCACGGCTCATGCCGTAGCAAAGTTGTTCCTTCGCCAGCATTTATTTTCCAATTTTCAAAATAGCAGATGGATACGGTGTCCTTCGTGCCAAAGAATGGAGAGCATTTTGTGAGCAATCTGCCGGGTCAGTGGTGTTCCGAGTTCTCCATCTACTTAAGCCCACCAAATCCGCGCACCAAAACGGCTTTCAGGTGCTTTGTAGCGACAGGATGTATGCAGCTCAGCTCAATAGAGCATCACTTAAGGAAAGCTGCGCAGAGATGGACATTGTGTATACGTACCCAACGTGGTCGAGGCTACGACGTCACTACAAAGAGGAGCTTGCATTCAAGAACAAATGCCTCGTGTTGCCAGTCTTCTTCGAGAACAGGGAGTACCGGTGGGTCCCGCATCACAGGACTACAGGACGACTGCACAAGCAAGGCTTCCGAACAGGGTACCGCTAGTTGTATCAGACCATACAACATTTCTCCAGCTTCAGCAGATCGAAACGCTGCAAATAGCGATGCACGACGCGATGGAAGATGGCCCGCTGCTTGCAGACGCAGAGTACCGTACTCAGTACGGGCTTGGGCGTATCTAGATTCAGGGTATACTATCCGCGATGGAGGTGAACGTCGGTAATATCGACGCTATTCTTGATTTCTCAAGCTACACGTTGCGCCCTCCATTTAGAGAGTCGACAGCGAGGTCGACGCCGGCCAGTGTGGGCAACATGACAGACAGTGATCACACAAACGGCTAAAAAAACACATTGGTGCTAGATGTGTATAGATATCGAATAGTCTACGTCAAGAGAGCCAGCAAAAATGGGTGCATAGACCACCAATTTCCTGTCCCAGCATAAGTGAACTGGTGTGGCTCTAACGCTAAAGGTTACGCCTATATACATAGCCTAAACTCTCAAATCCTATTCACCGCCCCTGAGGGCTTCACCGGCGATATTGCCCTTGTCGTTGTCATCGACACCGTCTAGCGTACTGGTATGTGTTCAAAAATGTATGCTATCTCGTTAGAATAGGTGTGTGTTAAGTTGGCCTTCTATTTGGGTGTTGTTTTTATGTACCTATAGAAGCCTGGTAGTTACGTAACTGAGTTTTGATCGATGCCAGAAGAATCTCCTGCGGTTGGTTCGCCGCGCTGTCCAGTACTTTGTCTTCTGCTGCCTCATAAAGCAGCAATCTCCATGGGTAAGTGGTTCTGTAGCTCTCCTCTGCTTTGTTGGGGTGGTAAAGTTGGTTTGTCCTTAGGTTCGCTAGGCTTTTACACCGTTTAAGCACTCCTAGTTTTGGCTTGTTCCATTGTACCAAGAAGAAAGACCTGAGAAGGTTTCGGCATGGTGAACTCGTCCTCTGTGATCGCTCCGTTTTCTTTTGTGGATGTATAGCCACCTCCATGCTTTCAATGGAGATCATCGTTTGCTGCGGGTTGGACTTTGCTGCCACTATTTCCAACGCTCCCATTAGCACACGTATCTCGTTAGAATAGGTACATACATGTGCAACGACATAGGGTGCACGGCCTGACGGCCGTTCTGTGCTCTAATTGGCTAATTTGCAGTCTATGTGGCAACACATATTATGCTTTGACATAGGTTATTCGGTAGCCAATTGACAATGCATTTGACTTGCAACCAAAGTGACTTTACTAGTTTTCTCCTACCTCCTCTGTCTGCCTAGTGCAGCAGTACATACCAATTCTAAGAGCTGCGATCGGGTCTTCACAAAACGTTGTATTCCAGTGGCATTGAATCCT